AGTGGTCCTGGACCATGGCTTCACCCACTCTGCTGTGAATGTGAAGGTGCTGTGGGATGGTCTGTATGTCAAATTGCTCTGATTGGTCAATAAATAAAACACTGATTGGCCAGTGGCCAGGCAAGAAGTATAGGCAGGACTAACAGAGAGGAGAATTGAGAGAATAGGAAGGCGGGAGGAGACACTGCCAGCCCCCGCCATGACAAGCAGCATGTAAAGACACTGGTAAGCCACGAGCCACGTGGCAAGGTGTAGATTTATAGAAATGGGTTAATTTAAGATATAAGAACAGTTAGCAAGAAGTCTGCCATGGCCATACAGTTTGTAAATAATATAAGCATCTGTGTGCTTATTTTATAAGTGGGCTGTCGCACTTCTAGGGATTGGTGGGACCTGGAGAGAAGCTCTCTAGCTACAGGGATATAGTTCTGACTCTTCTACCATCTGCACTTTCTTCTGGGACATTAGTACTCAGCCCTTTTAGATCAGTATCTCCAAGTGTATTTGTGTGTGTGAGTCTTAAAGTAATAATCCTCATAGAGTATTTTGACTGTAGAAAATGCAATAGGGAATATGTATTTATATTAATTACATTGCCATATAAAACTGCTATTACTATTTTGCTGTTTTTTTTCCAATTTCTTTTCTATTTATGTTTGCATTTGTTGGTACACATGTGTATAGTGCCTAGTATATAGAAGGTGTTTTATAAATATGTGATTAGATGAGTAATACACACATGCACACATATATACCTTATATGTTTATTTTTCTGCTTCATTTTTAATTGTCAGTCACCTTTATTTATTAGGGTACAAATATAATTTTTTTACATATATGTGTGTGCTCATCTGAATGCATGTGCATATGGGTGTCTCTGTGTGTGGAGGCTAGAGGTCAAGTTTGATTATCTTTCTCAATTGCCCGGTATCTTCTCTTTTGAGACAGGGACTTTTACTGAACCCAAAGACCACTGTTTGGCTAGATATGTTCTCTAGCAAGCCTCAGGAATCTGACTTTCTCTGCCTCCTGGCCAGTGGGTCTATAGGGACTTTTTAAAGGGATGCTAGGAGTCAAACTCAGGTCTGCATACTTGTAAGACAAGCGTTTTTTGACTGAGTGTTCTCCCTGGCCTAAATGGGGTATTTTGATGTCTGGTGATATTGTGGAAAGACTAAAGGAAGATAATTAGCATATCTATCACCTTACCTAGTTATCATTTTTTAAAGGTGAGAACACAGGGAATTTCTCTGTGTGTGTGTGTGTGTGTGTGTGTTTTTAGCAGGTTTGAAGTATACAACTTATTAACTGTCACCATGTTATTTGATAACTCCTAAAACTCATTCCTTCTATGTAACTGAAACTGTACCCTTTCTCCATTCCCTGTTCTCCAGCTCTGGTTACCATCTTTATGCTCTTTCATTCTGATGCTGATTTTGTTTAGACTCCTCACATAAGTGAGATCATACCATATTTGCCTTTTCATGCTCACCTTATTTTATATCTCCCATAGCAAAAATATGAATATGAAAGATCACATATACCCTTACTCTCTTTAAGTTTCTTAATGACACATTTAATTATCAAATGATTTCACTAAATTAAACACAGGATTTGATCATCTCTGAATCATATCTCTCTCTCTATATATATATCTATATATATCACGTGTATGTGTGTATGCAATTTAACCTTCCCATGTTAATTCCCTTTTATGTCTTTGTCTTTCTGTTGTTGTACACTTTTACCTTCAACTTTTATTAGTGCAGAGCTACTTTCTTGGTTAATTCTAGAGGAGACTTTGCGGAGGCACCTGTGGTAATTTTAAAGCCATTATTTTTTTCTAATTTTCAATATTTAAAAATAGTATTTTTTTTATTTCAACAACTAAATATCAATCTGCAAAATTGGGAAAGCAGAAAAATCAAAGCAGGAGAAAGATTGGAAAGCAAATTATTTATGTTCCTTGTACCAAAAGATGACTTCATATGAAATATGACTTCCATAGTTTTCATCTCACCTTTTTTTTTCTTCAAGACAGGGTTTCTCTGTGTAGCTTTGTGCCTTTCCTGGAACTCACTCTGTAGCCCAGGCTGGCCTTGAACTCACAGAGATCCACCTGGCTCTGCCTCCTGAGTGCTGGGATTAAAGGTGTGCGCCACCACCGCCCGGCTCATCTCACTTTTAATCTACCACATATTTATCAAAAAAGGAGTTTTGTTTTCTAAACTTTCTCCACTTCCTTAGTGTATTGTTTGCGTGACCTCTGCATACCATATGTGGTATGTCTATATAAAACATTGAATTAACTCCTTGATGGACATTTAATTTATTTCTAGTGTTTCATTGCTTTGTGGACTACCAACAGAAGTCCTGTGTCTTGTCTGCTGGGTAGTCTACTGTGAGTCCATTAAGACAAGCTCCTAGAAGAATGGCCACGTCAAGTAGAAGCCCATCATGACTGTTGGCAAGTAGGGCCACATTTGCCATGCTGCCTCTGAGGCTTATGCCAACTGACACCCACCAAAGGCATCGTGGAGGTGAAAGGGGAGGATTCAAAGGCTTCAGGCCATTGACTTGGAAGTCAACCGCATCCCTTTGCTGTCTCTGCTGGCGTCTTTGAGATGCCAACTGCAAGTTACAGGAGGCACCTATTTGAGGTGCGTTCATGAGCTTGACTCCTGACACAGAAAGCTTAGTGTGGAGCCATGGATGAGGGAAGGCTCCCAGCTGTGTACAGGAAATAAGGGGCAATGTCCTGACTAGTGGCTCTTCAGATCACCAAATTAAGCAGCCTGCTGTTTGAGTTTACCTTCAGTTGTGTTTTATCCTGTTTTTGTTCCATCAAGAATTGCTTCAGGAAAAGTGTTGTATTTTCTCTTCTAGAACCTTCTGTGACTGCAGGGGAAACCTGGTCCTGGGAGCAGTACTTAAAAGAGTCAAGTGCTGTGGCCGCACCAGTTGAGCTGTTTTCCAAGGTCAGCCTTAACATTTCTCACTGGGATTTAATTAGGAAATTTCCCTGACATGAAAACATTTGCTTCGACACCTTGCCAATTAGTTAACTCATGGGCAGGCCTAGGAAATGACCTGGCAAAGCTAATCCAAACTTTAGTGTTTCAGAGTATACACTGGAGCTGGGTTTGAATTTAGCACTGCCACCTACCATCTCTGTGAGCCCTGGGCAAGTCATTCAGCTGTTCTGTGCCTCAGTTTCCCCACTTGTATAGTAGGAAAGATACCTGTCTCCTTGGATTTTTGAGAGACTAGATAAGTTGAACACATAAGGTACACAGAAGGCAATCTGCCCCTTAATTAATCACCTTCTTCCTATTAGCTGATATCATTTGTATATGTCCACTCAAGGGTTAAGATACACAGATCTATTTTTGCTTGTTGACTGACAGTAATACATGAAGTGAGATGTTAAAAAAGATAGTGGGAGCCCCAGATCACACCATTCCAACTAGGAAGATTGGCTGAGCAGCCAGGACAGACTTGTTTAATTGAGTGCTTGGGCACCAGAGCCTGTGGTTGTATACAGGGACTCTTCTGTATTCAAAATTTACATCATTATATTGTATTTTAACCTTTAGTGAGAGGTGAACCTTGTGCTTGTGCTTGCTACACATCTCATGACACCTGCTGTGGTACCCTCAGATTCTGTTTCTGGTGAAATGACCAGTATTAATCATTGTGGACGTAGTGAGAGATAGGGAGAAAAAGACCATAAAGGGATCTGAAAGCATCTAGAACAGAGGCTTTACCTGCTCCTGCATATCACATAGAAAGGGCTGAAGTGCTGATCTTCTTGAGGGCTGCTGAACCAGAATCTCAGGGCATGGGGTGAGAAGCCTCCATTCTGTGGGGCTCTGAGGTCTGCCTCCTTGGGAGCAGTGAGGCTGTGTAGGTTCTGCTTAGTGCTTGGGTCCCCACCACCCTTCTTTGCTGTTTATCCCATCCACACCATGTCAGTCCATAGCACAAATGCTAGGCAGGTGCGTCTCTTTCTCTTGCATCTCTTAGTGTTTTCTGTGTTGAGTGTGCATGCATGACCTCTTAATGTTAATTGACTTACAAGAAGACCTTTCTTTCTTCGGAGTTCCAGAAGGTCTTGGAGAAGGTGGCTTGGACCCAAACAGGTCCAGTGTCTCTCGCAGGCCTTTTTCTCTCTGCCTGTGCCCATCCCATATTCTGGATGTAGGATCATTGCAGGTCCATAGAGTGACCCAGCAGGGGGTAGAGAACCCAGGGCAGAAGAACCTGATCTGCATCCAGGAGGTGACATTTACCTAAGGACACAGCTGGTGACTCTGAGCCTACATTTGATGGCATTGCTATCCAGAGTCTCCAGGTAACCCGGAGCAAAGATGGAGGGATAATGATGGAAATAGAACGTACACATGGACAAACTGCCTATAGAGAACATTGTGGCTCACGTGTGTGCTGTACCCTCAGGTCTGGGTCCTAGCACTAGGTTTAAGACACAAGAAATTTGAGCATTGGCGTACAGTGAAGGCATTTGCAAAGCAAGGTGAGTTTAGGCTGGAGGCAGGCAAGTGTCAGATTTACTATTCCTCTGTTGTGTTCCTTCAGCCCAGACACAGAGCATATTAGTGTCATTAGTTTATCCTGGACAGTTCTTTAAGGTCCGTCAGCCATTGCAGAAACGCTTGGAGAGTGAAGCTTTCTCCTCTAGATTTCCCTTCTTGGTTTGGTGTTAAAAAAAAAAAAAAGACACCCAGGGGAAATGGGAGACTTCTACTGAAGCAAATCAGGGCATCTGTGTTGGGAACCAAATTCTTAGGCTGTTGGGCATGAAGTGAAGCGTGTGTCCCTCCATTTTTAGAGAGAGGAAGAAGTGTTAGTGGAAAGCTCTTAGTGAGGGTAGGATGGTGAGGTGTCCCTGTGGAGGGAGATGTGTGAAAAGTGAGTGAAACTGGGTGGTCAGCACAGGATGCTCACCCATGGTCCTTTGGCTAATGAGATGACTGTGAGATATGATTGAACTTTGACATTTGTCAACTTTGAAGATACAGAAAACATTAGTGATAGCCTACAGAGCCATTGACATGCTGACTCCCTTTATCTTACCTCTGATCTGACAGGAAGCTGCTCATGTCTTAAGGCTCTGAGTGTGCCAGAGGACATATAGAGAGCATGAGGCACCAAGAGTCAATGCCATTTCTCGGAATCTTGTTGCTCATTTGGGAAAGAAGACATTACCTAAAATACGTTATTATGCATTTATATATGTATGAACTTATTTATGTGTGTGCAAAACAGTAATAATTAAGGAAAATGAGGCCACGATTATGAGAGAGGGAGAGAGGGAGAGAGAGAGAGGGGGAGGTTGGAGATGATAGAAGAATAGGGGAGATGATGATGTTTTGGATCGTATTTAAAAATCATCAAAGACTTGGATGAGAGGGAAAAGAAAAAGGAAAAAAAAACCCACAATGGTGAGGCAGATCATTACTCATGGGCCGCACAAGTGATGACATTAGGAGACATTTTGTGTTATTTATGGGTTTGTCTGACTCTGAGTGAGGAAAGAAAGAAGCGACTGTGTTTGCCTTGATCTCTTAGCAACTGAAGATGTCTGTGCTCAAGATCTGGTGTGACTCCAGTTTGACACTTGCATTTTAAGATGAATAAACATGCTTGTGATTGAAAATTTCAGTGCCGTCAAAAAGACAGAAGGTTGTGTCAGCCTTCCAAGAGGGAGCTGAACTCAATTTTATATTGACACCCTTGATTGTTAGTGTTCCTTTTGGTGTGCAAATATTATAATAATGTTGTTCACGCCAGCCACTGTGAATGAAGTTCTTTGGCCTCTTAGTGTTAAAAATAGAACAAAGTTGTTTGTGTTTCTTGACTGGATTACTATTCTAAAGGCATTAAAGTAGTGGTTCACTGCTAATCTTTCTAAACTAACATTCAAGTTTTAGAAGCTATACCAAAGCTACATGCAAACTTACACACACACACACACACACACACACACACACACACACACACACACACACACACAAACACAATTAAACCCTGAAAATCAGAGACATATTCAACTAAGAGAATGAAATGATAACACTTTAAGGAAAGTGTGCCTATTTTATTTACACTCACATTTCTGAAACTCTACCTGTCTCTTTTAAGTTTCCTTTAGTACCAGACAAAGCCAATTGTTTCATAGTTTATAGTTAATTTCACCATCTGAGGCAAGACATAAACAAGAATATAAATAAAACAATATAAATACCTGATGTTTACAGCAGATTTAAAGACAGTTTCTCCTTATTACCTGTGTGATGTCTATCTTGATTTAATTTGGGAATTGAAATATTGTTTTTCTTTCCTTTTGCTGAGGTTGGTATTGCAAGTATTTCTTCCTGTCTTTCCTGTCACCACCCTTACTAGTGCATACATACATCTACCGCAGATATTATTTTAATATCTTT